TCTATGGTGTTCTGGGCGCCGGCCTTTGGCTTGCAGAAGATATGGTTTGATCCTTGCTTTGTAACTTCATCTGCCTTTGATCTTACAAAAAGTTGAATGCATGGGTGCCACAATCACTTATAATGCAACAAAAATACATACCATTACAACTTTTCAGGAAATTCTGAAACGTTTTAGAGAATAATTAGGTTAATCTAAACTTATCAATAACGTGTATAATATCTATTTGAAGGTCATTGAGTGCTTGTGCCTTATTGGAGTAAATCTGTTATTTGAAGATAAGGTATAATAATAAGATGTAGTTTTTCACAACTTCGAATAATAAATACTAAATGCAAAAGTTAAACCTTTTTTTTATACAGGTATGTCTTCTCTTATAATATACAACTATATTTTTTCAAATTGAAAAATATGTTTTATTTATAAACCTATGTTAGTTCGTGCTTTATTGCAATAATGTAATCGTATTGTAGTTTTCTTTTAACCATTATTTTATACAGAAATAGAGTAATTTCTAAAAAGTTTTAAAGTGCTACTAAATTATTTAAAAACCATACGCATTTTTCCACAACTACTCTCAGATAGAAATCGAAGGAAACTACAAATAATTGTTCAGTTATTTTATGTTAATAAATTACTGAGTTAACAGAATAAAAAGTAAATAATAATTTAAAATGCAAATTCCATCATATATTGTTATTTTTAATAGGATTTCTTGTTGTTGTAAAAATTCAGTTTAAAGTACTACTAAACTCAGGAGGTCTAGCAACACATAAGTGTAACAAAATGCAGGGAACGTCATCAATTAATCGTATGGAGTTAGTAATTTTTTTAATCCTGTAAACTGAAGAACTGACGACCTAAAACCAGATTAAAATAAACAATTATTTTAGTATGTACTATTCTGCTTACTTTGCTACCTTCTGCTCAAAAAGTATTCGGATTTTGTAAATACAAAACACAAATTTAAATTTTATTCCAAATTTATTTTATCTCCTTCAAAATATACTCCTTCTGAAGCGATACACATATGCCAACGCTTAACCCAATCTTCCATACACAGAGTTGAGGTTGCTAGTGGGATATTTAACGGGTCACCATGGACTGCGTTATCACCTTAACAAAATGGGTCTGTCTGAAGAGATAGATTGTCGACTCTGCTTAGATGCATACGTAACTTTCAGTCACATTCTCTGTGACTATCCAGCCTTGATCTGCGCCAGGACGAGGTCATTGGATCGAGAACTACTCTCTTCTTCTGACATTAGGAGGTCCTCAACGGTCTACATTCTGGCCTTTATTCGGAAGCCGGAATGTCTTCTGTTCGGTTAGGGTCTGTTGCAGCACAAAAGATCAATCATCTCCGTTTATTCCTATGTTATGGACTAATGTTGCCGAAAAGAATAATTGTTACCCCAACATAACTAAAAATTTGTACCATAAAAGTAAAGACATGCGTCTTGAAACTAAGAACTCAATTTGATAGTTTACAATTTTGTTGGCATTCACAATTGTCAAGCTGTTAATTGACATTAAGTAACAAGCCCGTATTCGATTTAATGTCACATTATCTTGGAGCTCCTAAAATAAGGAAGTTTAAGGAGTTTATTAACAACTTACAAAAAGTATTAGCTATGTTATATATAAAGATAGCATAGTCTATAGTCGCTTTTTTATTTACATAAATATATAATTAAGTGATATAAAGACCATACAGACCGATTCAGCGATTTAGGCCAAAATTTGATAAATTTAAAAAAAGTCCAAAATATATGAAAATGGTCTTTCTCAACCATTCAGAGATATAGATTATCTCTGAAACATTCCAATATATGTAGCTCAAAATTATTTTTGAAATAAAAATTTGAGTTTTTCATTGCATAATTATATATAATGGTTATATATTTTTGTAATAAGAAATAATTAAGAAATTGCGGTGTTTGCTGTTGTTAGTTAGGTGATATCTGTACCCAAGTTTCTTTGTTTCAAAGGAGTTGGGGCACGCCTTAATTTGAATTTTTTCAGAATTAGTTGCTTGTCTTTTTTCTTTTCACTAAAATATTAGAAATTAATATAACCAATCTGGTCAAAAAATGAAAAAAAATTCCTTAACAACAGAGGTCCACCCTAATTCATATACAGTCAAACTGCCATAACTCGAACTACCATTTTACAAAGAAAAGGTTCGACTTATGGAGACTTCGAGTTAATGAATTCCTTTTGTTATTGTATGTAATTTGCGAAATAGACCCTTTTGCAGTCTACTTCGAGTCAAAGAAAATGCAAGTTATCGAAAATGCAAGCTATAGAAGATCGAGTTATGGAAATACTTTATTTTAAATAAGTAGTGGTGATGACAAATAAAATATACATATGCACAAACAATAAAAAAATTAATTATGCATATAGCCTTAAAATAATTTTATACAATATTATCCTATTTATAAATTGAATTTCGAATTATATGAATATTTCAAGAAATAAACTTAAAATAACTACTTTTTTCTATTTTTAAAATGAAATTTATTTTAAGAACCTCAATGTAAAAACCGCATTTATATTTTTGTTTTATTTTCTCAAGCGTTTATATTTAATACATTGATGTACTGTACTTGCCTCTAAAATAGGTTTTAATTTTTCATAAAACCAATGGCAATTGTGATTACAATCATGTGCTCAGCAGTGATTTCAGAACATTCGGTAAGGAAAATATTTCTCTATTTACGCTCTTTCTACTTAAAAATTCAAAATCGACTTTTTATGTAGGAGTGTGCTAGTTTCAAACCTGAAAAAGAGATATTCGTAATTATTTTGTCTATTTAAGTTGTGGAAATATGTATTTACCTATGTAAATGTACATTTTCTTTGAAGTTAAAGGAAATTTTTTTTACTTTACCAATGGACGTAGAATAACGCAGTAGATTTCGTCAGAATACATAAGTCCGAAATATTCTTTATTTATTTTCTGTTAAAATTATTTGAATTCAGCGTAATGACGCAAGGAAATAAATAAATATTTATGTACAAAAAATATGTTGAAGCATAAGAAATAACATGAATGTATAGTACAGGAACACCAAATTATCTATGTCATAGTTTATGACTTGTACGTCATCTATTCTGTGTAGGTATTCAAAACTTCTTTAATAATTAATCAATTATCCCATAAAGTAAAATATATGAACAAAAATATTTGCCATATATTGTAGTTCTAAATTAAATGTGTCTATTTTACATACTTTAATTAAGTTATAATTAATATGTTGTATTGAGTACTTTACAGGCGAAAGTAATGACAAAAATATTTTTTTTTTAATTTATTGAACTTATTTGATTATAAACTTGTGACTACGCGAATTGAGGGTGTTTAATTTTGGAAAGTGATTCTTTGCTCCTAAAGATAAAAAAAAAATTCGATGGGCCATTTTTAATATTTACCTAAGGTAATAATAAGTATCTAAAGAAATTTATTTCTTTAAAAAACAAAACAAAAAACAAAAATATCTTAAAACCTGTTTTTTGAATTTATGTGCATTATCCATTTTAGTCTATTAAATTAAAGAAGCTTTAACTGGAGACCTAATATGTTCTGATGCTTAAATTGGAAACGGCTTTCTTATCTATATAAAATTTTAGTCTTTTACTGAAATTATATATTTTTATAAAAAAGTTTGTTTTTTTCCATATGTTTGAACTTAAAGTAACTAAATGCTTGGAGTTACTTTATTTTAGTTATCTACCTAAATAGATAATATTCTTTAATAGTAATAGAAGCAGTCATAATGCAACTTAAAATATAAAACAAAAAATAATATAAAAAATATAATATAAAAAAATAATATAAAAAAAATAATATAAAAAAACAATAATATAAAAAAACAATAATATAAAAAAATAATAAATAAAAAAAATAAATCATACAACAAATAATGCCTCTACGAATAGAATAGTTTTGAAATTTAACAATTAAAAATAAAAAATATAATTAATTCAATTATTCTACAGCTGGTTTATGATTTCGTTCTAATATATAAATACAGCAAGTAAAATTGTTAATAAAAACTTTCATAGCAAAAGTAACAAAACTCCAGCAAAAATATGCGAACATAAAAAGTCAAGTACGGCTTTGGATAAGTTGGTTAAGGTGCGCTGATTCTGAGCTTCATATTTGGCAGGACCCGAGTTCGATTCCTGGTACTTGCAGTCTCAAAAATAATTATTTACGAATAATTAAATATAAGAATTATTTCCAAGACCACTGATGAAGGGTATTTCGCAATACTCGAAACAGTTGTATGGTCAGCCAAAAATTCAGTTAATTAAAATAATATAAAAAATAAATTTTTGTTGTTGTATTTCACTACTGTTCGAAAAAACCTCTTTAAAAAAATATAACAAATTTGCTATTAAACTAGTCACTTTCGTCTGGAATATTTGACGTTAAATTACAACTTATATTCATAAAAAAAATAATATAAAAAAAAATAATATAAAGAAGAATAATATAAAAAAAATAATTTAAAAGAAATTATGTGAAAAGAAATATATAGAAAATTAATATAAAAAATTAATAAAGAGTAATAAATAATACTCATAAGGCGTTGATGTTGACCTGGCTATTATTCTTTTAAAATTAATATATTTTTTAAAACATAGTGTTGAATTAATTTATATATCTGTGGTTTATGCGTTCGTTGTAATAAATAGCAGAGCATGTGCAAGGTTTATTTATGAATAAGCAACAGAAATTGTTTAAAACTCTAATTTAAATAACGCAAATTTAGTATACGTTGGCTTTGGATATGAACACAAAGTCCAGTTCAAAAAAAAATTTTTTTTTAATTGAAAAATGTTAACATAGCAGAAATATAGTGCTTTGTTGTAAATTTAATGTAAATATTTTTAAAAATAATTTTTAAAATTGTTATCAACATTCTTTATTTATTTTTGTTGTATTTAATATTTTACCACATATAATTTATAATTTGTTAAAACCCAACACCAAACTAAAATTTAAACCTTTAATTTATATAAATTTAAAACACCTTCACCATACTTAATAACTATTAATTCAATTAGTATTTCAATCAGACATGCAAATCGTATATTCTTCACCCATACATAACCCTTTTTCATTATTAAAAAGCGTTCCTTCGGGACAGTCAGTGTAAGCTATAGTATGATCAGCACGACATATATAAAACGAACGACAGTGATCGTCTTTATTTGCATATGGAAAATCCAAGGCTGATTGTTCACAGATCTGTAATTAATATAAGAAACCAAAAAAATGTTTTTTAAATTACAATTAAAAGATATTATTATTAAACCTTTTTCTTTGACGGTGTACCACTATAGTCTATGGGTGCACGTTGCAGACTTTGTGGTGGCATTACACATTTCGCAATCTCCTTCACACAACGGGTGGTTGTTGCGTTATAAAAAAGCCCATCAGCGCATTCATGTATTTTTGGTGTTCCTCTTACGCATTGAAAATATGAACGACAATTGTCGTGTATGTATGGATAAAGTACGGATTCACTTAGTCCAATACAGCTCTAAAACAAAATTGTGTAGTCCATAACGCTATATGGTTAATAATAAAAATTTTACATACCACACTTGGAGTTTCCTCAGAAGTAGTTGGTGTGGAACTGCACTGTTTTAGCGTATCTTTCAAACAAGTATTTGTTGTTTTATTGAAATATTCTTCCTCTCCACATTCACCGGGAATTTTTTGTCCATTTATGCACACAAAGTATCCACGACAACTATCCGTATCTCGAGTTAATTGACCGTGCTTACCATTACATACGCCAAAACGTTGACCATTTTCAAGCATGCAGGTACCATCATTTTGGCGACAAAGACCTAGTAAACTATCATAGCTCTCACCATTACGACAACGCTGAGATGTGGGCACATTATCTTCACAGCTTATATAACGGCGACAGTCTCCTTGCTCTGCTATCGACGTACCAACAGCATTTTCTGAACATAAATCCGAAAAATCTGTAGGTTTATCACTACATTGCTGTTGTGCTTTTATCGGAATATTTTCTTGCTCTCTGGAAGTGGCTGCTTCATTCACAGCAGTATCTTCTCTAATATAAGCTTGACATTGTGATATTGTTGTGTTGAAGAAATAATCCTCATAACAACGTTCATGTTTTAACTTGCCATTGACACATACATAGAATTCATTACAGTTAAGTGGATCTGGTAGTAACGTACCATGTTTACCCTCGCAAACGGTAGGATCAGGTGGTACGGGATGATTATTAGGTTCATCGTCATCAACAAATGGACAAGAACCATCATCGGGTACGCATAGTAATTGTGTCGAATCGAAATATGCACCAGAAGTGCAACGTTGTGGCAATGCAACTCCTGCTGAGCATATATAGTAACGAGTGCAGTCTGTATGATCGGGTAAAAAGCTGCCATCGGTAAAGTTTGCACAGCTATGTGCCGTACCATTTCCATTCACAAGCTCGCCATTCTGGCATTCTTGTATCTCATCATAAATGCATTGTGCTAATACTGAGTTAAATATATAATTATCTGGACATTCGACAGGTATAGCAAGTCCACGTACGCACGCATAATATATATTGCAATAGGTTTCATGTTCCAAACGGGTGCCATGTGTAGCATTGGCGCACTTATTTTGCTGTATAGGCTTTTGACATTGACCAACATCTACACGGCATTGACGTGTGTAGTTGTGATAATATTCACCTTCGGGACAGTAGAGTAACTGTGTGCCATTTATTGTAGAACAGTGATAATAGGCGCGACAATCCAACGGATTTGCAACAAATGAATTATCGGTAGCATTTTCACACGCACCCGTCAATGGTATTCTGCAACTTCCATCATTGGGTCGACAATAAGCTAAATCGGCATCGAAGAAACTGCCTGTTGAACAGATCTGTTCACTAATTACGATTTCATTTAAGCACAAATAAAAATGATTACAGTCAGTGGCATGTGGAGCCAGAGAACCATCCTCTTGACCCAAACAAGCATTGTTCTCAGGACTTAAATTCACAGGTGCGTGAAATACGTCTACTCCAATAAAATGGTTTTCAAAATCAACGATTGGATTACATTTATTCTCTGCAGTATGTGGAACACAAGTACCATAATCTTTTGTGAAGGTGTAGCCCTTCAAGCAAGTACCTATTTGCCAGCTATCAGTCAAACAGTAATAGAATTGCGTACAATTCTCTGAAAGTGGATGTTGTTGCAATTCATTATGATGACAAGCTCTACGTAAGCCATTGCCTGCACATCTACCGTCATTTGGTATACATTCTCCAAGCACATCATCAAATGACCACATTGGCGAACAACTTGCACGCTGCCAGTTTCCAGCTTGACACACCTCGTAAGCGGTACAATTTAGTGGAAAAGTGCGTTTTTCACCATCAAGACAAATAGCTGACAATTCCGCACAGACTCCTTCTCTATCGGGTATACATTTTTCCATTGTAACATTGTAATAATTTCCTGTGTTGCAGTTTTGTGGATGCCATTTGCCGGCGATACAAACGTAATATTTGTCACACAGTTGTGCAGATGCACGTAGCAATCCTTCGTGACTACAGCTTTGATTGGCATATTCATTAATGATCTCCGGTCTATTAATGTTACCGGCTATTACACCACTGCTAGATTGTGCATCACTACATTGTGCGGCATTATTTGGCATGCAGTAACTAAAAGTAAGGTTAAAGTACATGCCAAATGGACAATACTGATACCACCATTCATTTTCCAAACACATAAGATACATAGCGCAGTTTCCAGCAAAATAACGCACCGCAGTATGTCGGCATTCTTTCTTAATTTCCGTAAGAGTCTGTTTAAATTCCAAGGAAGTTTTCTCATCTGATTGGCAGATTTTTTCGTTGTTTGTTGTGACGCATGTCTGTAAGTTACGTGAGTATAATTGAGGCTTTGTGCAGGTTCGTAAACGCCACTTGCCATGCGTGCAACGAAAATATTGAGCACAATTTCCATTTCTGCTTGGTAATGTTAAATGTTCCGTTTGATTATTGCAATCTGGTAAACCACTTACTTTTGCATAGTTACAAACAGTATCATCACGGGGTTCTAGACATTTCTGTTGCTCTGGATTGTAATAGCGCAAATCTGTGCAAGTACGTTTACGCCATTTATTCTCAACGCATACTTCATATTGGGAGCAGTTGGATGGTACAGATCGTTTTTCATTTTCAATGCAGAAGAACTGTAAAAATATAAGAAAAATTTTTTAAAATATCTTTAATATTTAGTTTCTATTTTTGTTTATTTTATATTTCTATTGCCTGTTTATGAATGTTTTTAAATTTTTTATTAATAATTAATTTTTATTAATTTATTTTTTATCTATTCGCAAATGCGAATAATTTGTGATAAAGTATCCTTTGGTGGTAATAAAAATAGCTGTTTGGTCACCAGTTTAGTTTGATATCTTCTAAAAGTTATGACCATCTGCTTAATAATCATAGCTCCATGGTGTACCGAATTGAATGAGCGTTCACCTTTAAAGCTGTGCAGCTTAATTTCAGTTTAACATGTTCTCTTACAGTGTGTATTAATTTCTGGTGAAAAGCTTGGCGGTATAAGCCTAAGAAATTCATGTACTGGGTTATAACACTTGTATGTACGCTTAAGCTCTACTTGTATTGAAGAGGTCATTCACTTTTAAATTCTGGCAGCTTAAGTCTATTTTAACATACGAGTATCGTATATGTGTGTATTTATTTCTGGTATATATTAAGTAGCTATGTTGACATATAAAACTTCATTTTTGGATTTACATACTTATTTACGTGATTAAAATTTCTTATTATTCTAACATTTTGATTTCTTCATTCCACAAATCTATATGCGATGTAGGCTGCTAATACAATGTTCCGGTAAACATATTAAACCTTTTAGTATATATGTATTTTGTGCTTTTATATACAATTTGTAATTCTTCTACGTAAATTCTAATGCGATAAATGAATATACATATATATATATATATTCGACGTTTGATAATGCAATTTTTTGAATCTCGCTTTTACAAAACAGTTCTCAAAATTATAAAGATTGTTTTTTGTAATCCGTAAGGAGCTGCTGGTATCGTCCTTTTCAATAATGGTTAACAGTATTTGGTCGCCGAATTTGACGAATGACTCTGGAGCGTAGATCCGGATGCTCCTTGAACCCATTAATAATTTTGCATTATAAAGAAAATGTACGTTTTTATAGATTCGGAATTAATACAGTGTTCTTGTTATTATTAGTCAGCTATTTCCGCTCCAAACCTTTATGGTATTTAACTAATATTCCGAGATTTCAGTTTGAGTCTACATGTATAATGCTTGAAGATATATATTCAAAATTTTTGGTGTTTGAATGTTAACATCTATATACTTGTAACATATATTGAATTTTTTTGTTTGTATCTATAGTTTTTGGTGTCATCTATCTCTTTAAAATGATTTTTTCAATTATTCCACTATGATAATTCAGCTTCATATGCCCACAGGACACATATGAAATTGTGTAAATTAAATTTTATATATCTGATCAAAATCCTTTTATATTCTACTTATGTGTATGATAATGATTTGATTTGTTTATGTGATGCGTAAATTAAGTGCATTTTACTTATATATTATTGCATATTAAAATATGTTTTATGATATTTTCTGCAAAAATTTCGCAAAGTTAAATCTACTTTTAATTGTTAATGTAATATCAATGACATTAATTTAATATAGCAATTGAAGATTTTATGCCATTTAAAGCGTAATTAGAAAACATCTACAATAGAAAAATTTAATTTCTTTTGCAGTATTCGATTTTTCCTCGTCTCTACTTTAATTGTGTTTGTAAGTTTAATTTTTTTTTTAAATAAAAATGCCAAAATTATTAGATTTCGCTATTTTCAGTTTATTTTTATAGAATAGCATAAAATTTTCAATTTTATATTAAATATTTTCATTAATGTAAGTTAATATTGTAATATGTGTCGCAGGCGGAATTTCTACATAGCTATATGAGTGCAAGAGTAATAACATATACTATATATATATATATAAATCAATATATTATATATAATATTGTTTATATATGATTATGTTATGGTTTTAATTTATAGGAGTAATATAATATTTTCTTTACAATATCCATTCCATACAGTTCATTCGAACTTAAAATAATTGCGTAAATTTCTTAAAAAAGTTTTTTAAAGGCTTTAAAGTTCTTACATCATCCACATCGATAGATCGTTTCGAGAACGGTCTTACTTTTTTACTATTGTAAGTTGTTGCAGTGGTGCATTGTAATTGTAGAGCACTGAACGTATAACCCGTAGCACACGTTTCGATTTGCAATTGTGAGTTAAGACATCTGTAGTACATTTGGCTGTTTTGTGGGTATGCAATAAGTTCATTCTCACGATAAGTACCTACACAAGTGCAGGATGTGTCAGAGCAAAGATTTTGAGAATCTAACATGCAGGCTTGTTGATTAATATTATAGTAATTGCCAGCACCACAGCTGGATACGTGTAATACTCCATCCGAACAAATGTAAAATTTATTGCAATCTGTTGGATGTGGCAAGAAATCTCCTTCACTGTAGCCACCTGGGCAAGTACAACCGTCATCGGGATTTGTACTTGAACCAATACATATGCCTTTCTCAACATTATATGTAGTATTATCAGGACAACTGAAGACTTGTACTAAGTCAGGTCCGAAGCAGTAACAGAAACTGCTTGTATCATTTATAGCTGGAATAGGGTATGTGTTAGATGAGCTAGCGTCTGCACATAGTGCGATGTTACATAAAAGCTGTAAAAAATTTTTTTTTAACAAAATTATTATAATTTTTTATATAACTATTTTTAATTTAATTCTAACTCACGTCAGATTCTGACAAACAAGCCAAGTATTCTACATCGAATATTTCACCGTCATTAGGACAAACATGTAATTCTGCTGTATTACCGTTACACAAACAGAAGCCGTTAGTATAATTATTTGCCGGGAACGGTGTCAAACCAGCACCTGGACATTGTGTAGAATCACAATATTCCTATGATTATAAAAAAATTTATATATTTTTTAACATTTTTGCTTATTCATAATTATGCTTACCGGTAAACATACGAGAAGAATCGAATCATAGATTTCTCCATCTGGACAGTTTATATTTACAACAGTTTCCTCATCCTTACAATAGCAGAATGAGTAGGGATCATTATAAGCTGGGAAAGTGAGTCCTGCATTTGTTTCACAGTTAGCAACATCGCACGTTGGCTAAACCAAGAAATATTTTTTAAAATAAAAATATAACTATATTATAATTTTGTATATAAATTTATTTAAAACTTATAGAGTAAAATAATAAATGATTCGCTCTTTCGTAAAACTATTTTCATTTAAATTGAGATCAATTCAATTTCCTTTACTTTTACTTAGAAAAGTAATATTTGCTATTAATTTTGTAGTGACTGAACGGTCCTAAATGTGATACACTAGAGTAAAATGGGTTTCGCAAATTAAAATCGGTTTTTATAACAGTTTTCCCGCAGTTATGTGAATTTTCAGGCTAGAAATCTTTCAGTTTTTTTAAGAAGCGCGAGAAAATACAATTTTTTTATATTCATATTTTCTACATACACACGATGCTGAGTTTATGTACGAAAATTTTAAACCTATGAAATTCATGTAGTGTGGTTTTGAGCAAAAGTTAATCAAACTGAATTTATTAATTAAACATGACCAATGTAATTACAGTTGTTGTTTAATTTGTTACTGACTTTCCCAACTTATTTCGACTCATTTGAACGTTCCAATCAGTTAATAGTATTGCAATATATAAACTATAGTTTATGTAATCTTAATATAAAATTAAGATTTTTTTACCACAAAATAGGTAAAAATTTGAAGCACATTAAAACTAATATAAATTTTATATTATTTATACAGCAGATTTATGATTTTGTGAGCATAAAAAAATAACACTGTATACACAGGCAGGCATTTTTGAAGTTATCATTACGGATTTTAATTTTATTAATGTTGAGTTAATATCATTGTTTTGTCAATATCATACTTTTGTTATAATTAATAACTTATTGTTAATAGAATGAAGGCATTATAAATGAAGGTATATCTGTGTCTAACTGCACTCTTCTCTACTCGAAGCCTACGCTTCTCACTTAAGTATGAATCAAAAAATGCTTAATACAAGCATTTAAGCATAAAATAAAATATTTGATTCTTGAGAAATAACAGTAAAAGTGGACATTTGTGTCCACATTTATTATAAAAGAAACTATTTTAAAAAGAAATAATTTGTACTCACCTGAGGTTCTAAACAAGCGCCAAAGATTGAGTTGAATTCTGTACCAGGATCACAGTCACGGAATACAGCAATATGACTCACGCACATACAGAAACCTTCTTTAGTGCTGATTGCTGCGAAAACGGTATAATCAATTTGATTGGCACAGAATGTCTCACTACATCTTGACTACAAAATTGAAATGATTTGACTTATATTAAATCAAATAAAACAAATATAATAAAATTAAATACTCACATCCGACACTGGAGGCGATTCACACACTAAAGTTAATGCACTAAAGGTCAAATTATTTGGACAATCAACAATAACTGGACTTTCGGCCACACATAAGCAGAAACTTTGTGTATCATTCCTATTTGGTGCAACAGTATACTCTGCGCTATCTGTACATATTTCAGGATCACAAGGAGCATTCTAAGCCATAAAGTGTTAATAAAATCAAAAAATTTAAATATTAAAATAACTTACAGAATAACACACTCCAATATTTTCATTAAATTCAGTGTCAGTAGGGCAAGCATCCTTATAAGCTTGTCCGTCTCTACAGATACAAAAGTAAGCATTATCTTTGCTTATTGTTGTAAAAGGTGCATAATTGCTTGCAGAAGCACACTGAGTTTGATCACAATCGGTCTAAACACACAATTTTTTTTATGTTAACACTTTATATCAACATATCGTATAAAAATTAAGTAAATACTTACACTTGGCTGTTCCAAACATACACCAATAGCTGAATTATAAGTGCCAGTTATGCAGTCTTTTACATATGCAACTCCATTCACGCAGAGGTAAAATTTAGTATCATCCTCAGGATACTCAAAAGTTGTACCTGCAGGCTGGTTTGCACACATAGTTGCTTCACAAAGAGCATCTGCACTACATCTGCCCAAAGTTATATCGAAACCACCGCTTGTACAAGTTTCTACAGTAGCTTGACCGTTATTACATAAATAGAATTTTGTGCAGTCCGGGTGTGGCAAAAACACAATGCCCGTGGTACTAGCACATGGGTTGATGCATGAGGCATTTGTGTCAGGTTCACAAGCACTAGTTTGCGGATTGAACCATTCGCCTGTACCACAAACTTTAGCGACTTGTTGCCCATTTAAGCAACTATAGAATGCATTACAATCTGTTGGATTAGCTACTAAAACACCATTCGCCTGATATTGGCATAAATTAGTTTCCGTACTACCGCCACCGCTGCAACTGGATGGCCAGCAAGTATTATCTGTATCAGGTTCACAGCGAAGGCAAGAGCTATTAAAATAGTTACCCTTACCGCAATTGCTCTCCATCAATTGACCATCATAACAGATATAAAAAAGTGAGCAGTTACTTGGATGTGGCAAAAAATCACCCTCTTCGTAACCTCCCGGGCAAGTACAGTCAGCATCTCTTGCTTGCATTTTAAAATCATCAACATTTTCTTCAATGGTTTTTATTTCGATCTCAGTTTCTGGTTGTTCTTCAATTATATTTGATTCATCAATATTCTCTGTCTCATCAATTTCATTAACTATACTACGTTTTGAACGTGTTTCAGCTTGACACTGTGGGCAGACATTGTCGGTGTCACGTACACAGTACTTAAGGTCGACGTCGAAATAGTTTCCTTGTTGACAACTTGTTTCAATTAATTGCTTATTCGAGCATATGTAGAATAGTGAACAATCATCAGGATGTGGTACAAACTCTCCTTCTGTATAGCCACCTGGACAAGTGCAAGGTTCTGTTGGTGTTGGGCATTCGCCTTGTTGACATATTTTCAAAGTTTTATCAAAGTACCAACCACTTAGACAATTTCGTTGTTCAGTTTGTTGATTTAGGCACACATAGTAAGAAGTGCAATCATTTTCATTTGCTATCACAGTATTATCCTCCTTTGATATACAATAATTTACCCAACATTTTGAATTCTCTGGATCTTCCTGACAAATACCCAATGTTGATTCAAAATACCAACCACTTAAGCAGCTTCTTTGCTCAGTCTGCTGGTTAACACATACGTAGTAAGTACTACAATCATTCACATCGGCTATCACAGTATTATCCTCCTTTGATATACAATAATTTTCCCAACAATTTGTGTTACCTACATCTGGTAGACAAGTGTTGTCTCCGAGAACAAAGTAGGAGCCAGCACTACAGCTTTGCTTAGTTGCTTGTTGATTTGCGCATATATAGAATGTTTGACAAGAAGTTGGATCACTCAGCCATGTATTATCGGCTTCATTAATACAGAAGTTTTGCCAGCATGTGCTGTCAGTGTCTGGTTGACAATTTCCATCGGTAAAATAACTACCATCTGAACAGTATTGTGGATAAGCCACATTCTCGCTGCAAATATAGAAGTTACGGCAATAACCACTTTCAGCTACAAAGGAGCCGGAAATTTGTTCATTACAAACATTAACCTAAGAGATATATTGCTTTAAGTCAATCGAAAATAATACATACATGTTAACTTACATCTGCTAAAGGCGCTGTCAAACTCAATTTACAAAAACCACGTCCAGCTGGTCCACATCTGCCAGCTTTAGGATTATATTCCTTATCGTCAGGACAAATTATTTCTCTCTTAACATTCTTATTCGTACAACGATAGAAACGGCCACAGTCGGTAGGATTGGCCCAGTGTATGGGTAGGCCACGTATTTTACGATAGACACAATCAGGATCCGCCGCGTAACAGTTCACCACTGTAGCTAGTATAACTACAGCCAGTAGAGAAACTGAAAATCACAATGAAATAACATTAATTGCATTTTTTTCTAATTATATTTCTATTCCAATTTTTAACCTTTCATTGTATGTTGCTTCTTATTCGACTATCACAATTCTATTTCTATAGTCTCCACTTGACGCCAATGTTGTACTCCACATAATTTCGAAAAAGCAGCAAGTTTTTATACAAAAATTTTCACCATCCAACATTTTCATATAAATAACATCATTTATATTGTTTTATCTAATTGAACAAGTTGTAACTACAAGATATCATAATTGACTCGTACACGGCGTATTGAATTCAAGGAAAAAATTTGCCCAAAATTTAGTCGGTTCTTATCATTTGGTTGTTCTAAGACGCACCCATCTTCCATGTTACACTTCCGATCAATCTGTCTCCCATTTGCCAAAATTCTTTTCATATAAACTCTAATAAGTTTGTTTAGCTGTTGGCTATTATATGAGCGTAAAGTAATATTCACCACAAGATACGTAAAGCGCATATCTTCGAATTGATAAGATCTGTAAATTTAAAATTTTCAAGATACAATCAATGTCAATGCCAAATTCTAATGAAATTTACTTAAATTATTATTTTAATTTAAATCTTTAAGCTTTTAATGTAAAACTAATTAATTAATAATTGATTAATGCACACATGCAGCAATACTTAAGTTTACTATTTATTTACTTTTAAAAATTACTATGGTGTCGCATTTAAAAAAAGTTATCTATAAGCTCGTCTTCATATACTTAACAAACACTTTGTAGAATATTCTCTTTTGCAAAACAATTGTTGTTGATCTTCTGCCAAAGAAAGGATAAAAATGTAGTATAATAAGCACAATTTAATTACTTAAAATTTTTAATCAAAATTCACATAAGTTAACCCCGAAGCGTACTTACTGGTATAAACGAGTTAAAATTTTTAATTATGCGAATATTGAATATTGAATGTTTATGTGGCTTACGTGAAAGTGAGAGTTAATTTTTTGCCTATATTTAAATTATTTCTTCGACATATTCGCCTTTAAGCAATTGATGCTTAAAGTAGAATTCCATTATTTTATACTTTCAAAAAAATTAGACTCATTATTGCCTTTAAAGTATCCACTAGTAACAAAAATTACGTCCAAATTCAATTCATACGGCGTTCCTCACAAACTATTTTCTGAAGTTCGAATCAAAAATACAAATCAGAGATTAAGTGAAATTTGGTGAGTACACACGATGGATGTGGATGCATTTCATAATGTAATTTAAAGAATTTTCGTTGACTAATGAGGTGGTGTGTTGTCGTGGCGAAATAAATTTATTTTTTTTTTTTTTGAAAATATTATATATTGTATGTTACTTAACCATCTAAAACAATATTCCCAAAAACTGTTAAGAATATTTAATCTAATATCACTACTAACAAAGACAATCAAATACGCCCATAATATTTATTACTTGTTCATAGCAAATAATCTTAACAAACATTATTTTATCTACATCATCAGTTTCATGCACTTTCATTCGATGATTTTTTATCAATAGTTATAATATGTCTTCAACATCCGCAGTGGCTCTTTATTTAAGGTTCATTCATTCGACATATAGAGACTTCTGTCTGCACTGTCGCATACATTAGTTTAATGAGATATTACTGAAACAGTAAATTTTTAAAAATCACGTGTACTTCCTAGATTTCCAAAATCAAATCAAAGTAAAACAGGATTTTTATAAAAAATTTTCGTTTTCTGTTGGGTTGCATTGATCGAACACAAATCAAAATATCACACCGCAAAGCGATAGTGCATATTACTGCAGAAAAGCTGAAAATTCAGTATATATTTCGTTAATATGCAATACTAATTACATTACAAGGATCACTATTTATATTTTAAGCTTTTGCAACACTGATTGTTATCAGGTGTCATTTGACGTTTCCATATACGAAAGTTTCACATTATTATACATAACCTACCTTACACTTTCTGTCAGAAAAACGTTATTTGTGATATTTACAGAGATTTGGAAATTGAGTATTTACGAGAAAATGGAGTTAAAGCGAGAAAATTTTCCTGTAATGATTTAATACGACTTTCGACGTGGATTACCAGTATCAAGAGAAGAGTGCATCGATCAAGTGGCGATGAAGTTCCATCCTTTTCCGCTGTGAAACGCTAATACAATGATTTTAATCGTGACCGGACTTCGTTCATTGACGGTGACTGTAATTCGTTAAAGTCGTCTAAAATCAGTTGTGTCAGAAAACATTGATGCTGTGCAAAAACTGAAACTCGTAATGGAAGATCGTCATGCGACATACTGTGAGATTGAGGTTGAAGTCGAACTCTAGGCATTAGGCATTAGTTCGAAGCACTTCAAAACAAATGGTCGTTTGTTTTTTTAGGAAAACTGGACATGTGGCAACTATACGGATACCAGTACAGGAACAAAAGAAAACAGTCAATTCCGAATAGTATACAACTATTTATTTACTGGAAGTTTTTAGTAACATACAGAAAACAAACAAGCGCCATCGGATCATTCTCCATTATGACAATGCGAGTCTAACAACCGACTACGGCGTGCAGTCTTGATTTGGCACCGAATGAATTCTTCTTGTTCCCGAACATCAAGAATAAATTGCGTGGGCAACGATTTTTATCAGTGGAAAAGGCCGCTACAAGTCAGTATTTTTTAAATATTAGGATCAAAATATAAATAGCGACCCTCGTATAAGTTTTCTCCATTTTTAATGAAGATATTCAAATGAAATTTATAGAATATATTTTTATTCATATGTGAGAATGTATAAAATTTTATTCATATAAGTTGAGTTGTAGATATAACTGCCACTCAAATTTTATCAATTTCATCAAATTGCACGAATTTCCACACCTAAGCTGCAAACGACTAATACTTTTAAAAACTGCTGTAAAAAAGTTTTTCTTTAAACTTAATTTTATATTAGATTTTAATAAAAAATGCTTCCATGTGCTTCCATATTCTCTATTAAACTTTTATTGTAACTAGAAATTATTGAAATTATTTGGTTTTTAATGGATGTTTTTTTATTTAAAAATATATGAAAAAAAGTTGCCTTACATTATTTGTATATTATACAAAGTTTTATACATAATTTTCATGTAGTTACTCGTTAAAAAATGTATGGAATGTATTGACTTTCCTTGATAAATAATGACATGTTCTTTCTTCCTAGTATTACAGTACTAGATGGTCGAGTGTCAACGCATTTCGCTCGCTTTTTAAAACACATACGTATAACAGCAACTACGTATAACAGTTTGGTTGAAATTGCCTACTACTTCATTATGAGGATAGAAGTTTTGCAACGTTACAAAAAGAATCGAGTTTAACTTATCTGATATTCTATACCACATAGCTCGAAACTATATATGTTTATAACACATCAAGATTGATCTTATCAAAAAATACATGAAGGATAGAGCCCTGAAATTATTTGCGAAATCTCACAGACTTACCAACACCGCTTTATCAAATCTCAAAATGGTGACAGGCTCCTCGGGGAGGTATGCAGATCTGAAGTCAATTATTGCTTAGTCTGATGAAGTGATAAACAATAATCTAGTCAAGGTGTAGAGAGGGGTTTTGAAAAAACCTCGCGTTAAAAAAAAAGTATAAATGCTTAAGTGCATTAGCTCAAAAGCTTCAACATAATAACACAAATAATTTAATTTAATATTACTTTCGGAAATGTAAAATTCAAATAAAAATTAAATATATTACATTTACTTATAAAATTTTTCATGCTATAGTTGGTTTTATTGGTAGAAAGTATTTATATGAATGCATTGATGAATCATAGTAATTGTTTTTCTTTTTTATTATGAATTTAATTAAAAAATGTTGAATTTGTATTTGAATGCATATTTACTTATAAGATATTGAAAATAACATAAAAACTACAAGAAACATTTAAAGGTTATAAAGATATGGCTGTGGAAAATATCATAGTTGAATAAAAACTATAAATGCAATAGGTTGGCTTGAGTGATGTCAGGTAAAATAAAAATATGAGATTCAATAATTAAAATTAAATTGAAATAAATTTTTTTTTGCAGTCGGAATAAATAACTTAAGTGTTTTGCTCCTGTTTGTGTCATTTACCAATATTTTTGCTAGCGATTATGATAGTTACTGCATAATAAATCGGTCAGGACATAATCTGCTGCCACATCAAAATGATTGCACGAAATTTGTACAATGTGCCCATGGAAAGGCATATGTGCATAGATGTCCTGCAAGTCTACACTGGAATAAAATAAGAAAAGTATGTGATTACCCTGAAAATGCGAAATGTGACCTGCTAATAACTTCTGCTGAAGGATTGAAAAATTCTACAGCACTGAATACTTTAAGTTGTTTAAATGGAACTTATTATCAACATGAGAAATATTGTCAATATTATTATTACTGTCGTGAAGGTGTTAAAGTTTTATCATCATGTCCCACTGGTCTTCAGTGGCAACAAGTGCAACAAAAGTGTATGTTATCAGATATGGTTAAATGCATTGATTCCTCGCCTATTTCGCAGGATATAGTACATGGCAGTGTTTATGGACCTTGTTCCGGTACAGATGGTTTTAAAGTATCTTTTTATTTGAATCATCCATACGATTGTGGAAAATTTTTAGTATGCGCTAATAGTAAAGTTTTTGTGATGAAATGCGCTTCGGGTTTAATGTGGAATCCCAACAAAAAGGTGTGTGATTATGCTGAAATTGTAAAATGTTTTAATGGAAGTTTGTTTAAAAACACAACTTCGTCAACAACACATACAAGTGTAACTACTTTTGATGAAACAACACAGTTTGCAGTATCAACAGAGAGTTGGATCACAGACATTAATGGAAGAACTGCTGACTTAAACAAGGACAGTATTGAAAACTTAAATGACACTGTAATTACTGCCACTTCAACATCAATTGTGCCTATTTCCACTAGTACTATTTTACTTCACACGATAAAAAATCAAGAAGTTAGTATTAATAAAAATGAACAGGATATGCAGACTTTCACTGAAGAAAGCTCTACTGTAAAAACAACATCCGACAGCTTTTCAGAACCTACAGTAAGCATGACGAATAACAACTTAAAAACCGATGATGATATCTTGGAAAAATTTACCTATACTGATACAAATACCAGTTATACACAAAGCATAAATTCTGTAGAAGAAAGTCATGCTATTGATTGTGAACCAGTAGTAGAAAAAGTACTAAATATTACAAAAACTACAACTGCTATAAATGAAACATTGGATTTAAATGAATTGAGTGCTGTAAAAAATTCTGCGGATAGTTTTGCCACAGCTCAAAATTTTTACAATCCAGAATCCATGTCAACATCTGCTAGTACTATCGATTACACTGGAACAATCATCCCTATAATGAGTGCAGATATCTTACAAAATAATAACATAGAAACTTCCACTGAATTAGTTGAGATAAGTATTGCAGACAATTCTGATATAATACAGAATTTGAATACCACAGAAACTATTTTGACGTCAGCTACTACCATCGATTACACTGGAACAACCATCCCTATAATGAGTGCAGATATCTTACAAAATAATAACATAGAAACTTCCACTGAATTAGTTGAGATAAGTGTTGCAGACAATTCTGATATAATACAGAATTTGAATACCACAGAAACTATTTTGACGTCAGCTACTACCATCGATTACACTGGAACAACCATCCCTATAATGAGTGCAGATATCTTACAAAATAAAAACAATAAAATTCCAGTTGAATTGACGACGAGTGTCACGGACCCAGAAATTATTGATAATTTATCAAGTTCAACTCAATTAACAAAAATTGCAACAATATCTGCAGTCCCAACTGATAACAGCACTGCGCATGTATCAAATAATATGTCGACTATACAAATGTCAACAACAGTAGTTGAAGAATCAAGCACACCTCTTGAAAATGAAATTATAGCAACACCAAACACAACAATAATAACTACAACAACTGCAACAGCAACACTGATAAATACCAAACCTAAGAATGAAAATAATGATTTGATAAATTTATATGAAACCGAATCGAAATCAAAGCACGCACTTGCCAATGATATGAGACAAATTACAATTCCTGATAAGAGATCGACAAAAATAAATGAAAATACTGCAAATAATTTATTAAAGAAAAGTTTTGGCAATTCTCCCAATACTGCAACTAAGAAGAATTCAATTCGTTATTCTGAAGCAAATAAAAAGCATTCAACAACAACAAAAAGGACTTTACCTACAAAGCGAACTACTACTCCAACATCGATTTTGTTGCAAATTATTGATCCACGTTTACCTTTCCGAGCTCCTCAATGTATTGGTATTGGGAATCGGATTAAATTCGCTGCAGATAATTGTTTGCAGTTTTATCAGTGTTTCGAGGGCTATGCCTACTTATTAAACTGTTATGAAGGATTTGAGTTCAGTGTCACTAAGGGCAGGTGTATGAATAGCTTAAAAGTAGTAAAAAGTTGCCTAAAATAAATAAAATATTTTTTATTCTAAATGTTAAATTTTTAATGTACTCGTACATAAAGTCTAATTAAAAAAAGTGTAAAGTGTGAAAATTGGTAATAGTAGTGAATGACGGCAGTCAATCATAGTTTTATCATACTTTTTTATACAATTTGATTATTATTTTAGTTGTAGGAGAGTGCAGATCATCCTTTTAGTACCGTTTTTCTCACTAAGGACTGGTTTAAAAATATGCTTCGAAAAATCTATAATAGCCCTGCTTTAGAATAGATCTGCAAGTACACCCTTCATTCGCAAAAATGCCACCTACAAAATTTACATCGAGATTTGTGTTTATCTGATATCGGTTGGGACCAATAAAACTGCGTGATCTACTTCGAATCAGATTAACACAATCTAACCTGCAAGGTACTGTAACAAAACCAACTATTAGAACGCTAACATATATTTCACATTTAAATTTAAATTTTATTGTATTTAACCAATAAAAAGATTACCAGAATATGAAAATTTCATTTCTGCCTTTAAGTCAGTTAATCTGTAGAAAGTTATTATATTTATGACGAGGGCATTTCGTGTCCAAATCAACGCTATGGTATTTTTTGTACCTGTCTTCAAAATAATCCGTATCGAGAAGTTGTGCAAGTTTCTCTCTAGTGACTGTGAAAACCTTACTGCAATTTAGAGTACATTTTCTAGCAAATACACCCAATAATTGGGTATCATAAACCGAATGAAGAAATAAGACTGGGTAAAATAGTTTCACTACTACAGTTAATCGAGAAAATTATGCTCTGAGAAATATTCTGAACACATGAACATTAAGTCGCATTGCAAAATTCCCCTATTTAATAATACTGTAAGGAGAGTGATCTTGTTTTTATTGAAGTGACTGGTAATAGTAAAAAATAGAATATAACATGTCTGATCTTTATGTTGACGATATAATAGAAAGTAGTGTTGATAAAAAGATATTGATATATCACTATCTACACTTAGGTACGACTTTATTAAAATATTAATATAGTAATAAACACAATATTAAGAAAATATTTTTCAGTATATAATATTTATTTTTCAGTCATATTTTTCCTAGCGATAATTTTAGCTTCGAGGACAGATAAAAAGCTACTTTCAAAAAACGTACCCCAAACGTTTTTCTTCAAAGACGTTACCTATATCAACCGATATATAAATTTTATTATATACTTATAAATATTTATTTTACCCATATATAGTCGTGTTCTTATTCATTTAGTATTGTTTACAATATATTAGAATTATAATTGAAAAATATAAGCAATTGCATTGGGGTCAATAGCGTTAAAAGCTTTCAGCACTTACAGTAAGAACTAACTTAGGTATATTACCTTCTGCTCAAAAAGTACTCGTATTTTGTAAATAAAACACAAATTAAAATTTTATTCCAAATTTTTTTTATCTCATTCAAAATATGCTCCTTCTGAAGTGATACACATATGCCAACGCTTAACCCATTCTTCCATACATTTTTCGTAGGTCCGTGAAGGTATAGCTTTTATTTCCTTTAGCGAATTCTCTTTTTCCGATTCAATCGACTCAAAACGCTTACCACGAAGGGGCAATTTGAGTTTCAGGAACAGGAAAAAGTGACACGGATGCAGATTTGGCGAATATGGTGCCTGAGTGATGACAGTGGTGCCGTGTTTGGTCAAAAAATCGCGTTCAACAAGAGTTTTCCATAGTAAAAATCGCTAAATGCAGTTGAGATAGTCTCACATTAACAGCTGCTGTAAACAAACCAATTGACAGATGGCGCTCAAATTTGTACCATATGTCAAAAAAAGGGTGTACCAAGATAACAAAAAAAAAATCCGGATACTTTGTGAGCAGAAGAATTTAAATAAAATCTATTGATATTTAGGTCTACTACACTAGAAAGACCATGGTTCCATATATCTGATTCAATGTCTCCATTTATTCACAGAAATATGTGGTATACCCATTTAATTTAAAGTCCTTCACACAAGTGGAAACGACTAATGAATAGATTTTACACCCATTTTTATATATACTAAATACTATATTTACATTAACAATATAATCGACACCAAAGTGTGTGTTAAAATCATCTCTGATCATCTCTACCTTGGGAAAAATCCGTAAAATTTGTTTGTCAATGAATTACAGACAAAAAAAGTAAAAATGTTAAAAAATGCAACATTCTTAAATAATTTTTTTGGAAAACTTAAACTTTACTTGACTTTAACTTTACTATCTTTAGTTTTGAAATGATTTGTGATTGCACTTAAAAATGTTATTGAAGCGAATGTGACTACAATTTTAAGACTTTAATCAAAATGATTGCACTTTTTTTAAAAAATTAAAGAATATAAAAGAAGTAGGTGATCATTTCTCAATTTTGTAAAATAGACAATATTTCGCACATTTTTCAGGTAATTTATGAATACTATGCCAATTGCTTGTCTTTTGTGGCAAAGCATTCGTCAAGCCATTTTCGAACTTTCTCAAAATTGCTAAAGTGCTGCTCTTTGAACGCGTGCTTCATTGATACGAAGAGATGATAGTCAGATAGCTCCAGATCTGGGGAGTATAGCGAGTGCGGAAGGATATCCCATTAAAGGGATTTTAATGTGTATTTTACTGATTTTGCTGTGTGAAATGGCTCATTCCAGTCGTCTTTCGATCAATGCATGATCTAAATTGCTCAATACCGCTCTGGTCCTACCACACACAAATCATGGCCAGACAAATCATGTTTATAACTAAATTGATGTATAAGAATAATGGTAAACTGCTTCATAATTGATAATTTTTGTCAATAATATTTTTTCGAATAGATTAGATTTTTTTTTTTTAGTTTTTACTTTTTTATTATTTCATTTCAGTTTTTTAACATAAATAAGTATTATGTCTTCATTCTAAGAACATTGGTTAGAGTTACTTAAAAATATGTTGAAAAACAAAGAATAGGACAATGACTTATAGTCGTCTGTCGGAGGTGTTGGTTTTATATAAATTTATCTTCCTGCTTAAAATTATATACAATTCAAATATGAAATTATGCAGAATTCAAAGTAATTGCTTATGTTTTAAATATTAATTAAAAAGTTAAAATTCATTTATAATCAGTTTTCAATATTTTAAAGCACTAGTAATATAATTAATCAATTTTTTCCAGTTAGGGCCATTTTCCCCATTAAGCACACTGATTACTTCCTTTTCCATTTTTTTTTATTTTTTCGAATAGTTTAAAGACCGTTTTCATATTTTTTTATTTTCATTCTTTTTCTAGAATGGAAATAAAAGTTTCTTGGTAGTAAGTTTTTCTCGAACTTGAAGCATTTGAGTTATGGATTTATCGGAGAAATCTCAAAATTTCATGGGCAGATCATGTTACAAATAATGAAGTATTACGAAGAATGAAATGTGATCACGAATTGTTAACAATTATAAAAAGAAGAAAACAGCTTACCTGGGACATATTATGCGAAATTCAAAATATGAGCCACTCCAAATGATTATTCAAGGAAAAATCGAAGGTAAACGCTGTATTGGTAAAAAACAATTTTCATGGCTACGAAACATTCGTCAGTGGACCCAAATACGAGAGGTTAACAACCTTATAAATATAGCTAGATGCAGAGAGCAATACGCAGAAATAGTTTAAAATTTGTAATTGTGTTTATTAAAAGCTAATCAAACAATATAGTATTATGTTAAGTTATTATGTTTTAATTATTATTATTATGTTATAATAAATTAATATAGTATTATGATATGTTATATGATCACCAATATTCGAAATCGAATTGGCAAATAAAGAAGAAGAAGATATAAGTTTTGAGATCAATTGTTTTTTGTTATTTAATTGAACAATAAATTTATATTTATAACATAATTATTAATATTATTAAAATTTTGTGTCAATTCCTTTAAAGCTTTCTCTTATATTATTAAACCATATAAAACTGTGATTGTAAATTAAAAATTCTTTAAACTTACACAATATTTTGAAATCTATATTATGTATTATAATAATAATCATAACACTTACGTTAAGTACCAATTATTTAATATGTATAGAGGTACTCAAAAATATAATTAAAAAATTATTGAACTTTTTGCTGGAAACAAAAGAGACTACGTACTTAAGTAGCAATAGATTTTAATAGAAACGCATTGAGTCATACTAAAAGCTATTGCAGGCTTTCTTTCATTCAATATAAAATTATATCAACGCTGTTAAAAAAATGCACTTCAATTTCATTAATCAAAAGAGTGTACTTGAATCAGATAATGGATGCAGTCGATTTTGGCTACTGACTTACACATTACTTTTAATTAGTTTTAATTGATATATATACACAACTTTATACTAAATTAATATATATACATACACATATGTTAAGTAAACATGTTAAATAAAACAAATAAAGGCTTGTTGAAGCAATTTATATTGAACAAATTTTCATTATTATAAAATCGTTGTTTGAAGTTAGTTCATTTTAGTATTACAGTGTAATTTAAGTAAAATATAAAAGTTTGTAAAATCTTTAAAAAATTTTTGTAATAGAATTTTTAAGGCAGTTTAAAAAAGAAGTTTTCTTATTTGCCAATCTTAATAACTTAAAAACTTATGAAGCCAAATCTACAAATTATTAACAGGAATCACATTGAAAAAATAGAATTAGTTTATAAACAAATTCCCATAAAACAGTAAAATATTTATTAAATAAATATATACGTATGTACTCGTATAATATATGTATTCCTTCGTTTCTCTTTATTGAGTGCAAAGGACTCCAAAAAGAAGATATACGCATATCTAAATATTAATAAAAATTGTAAATTATAAAATATACTTTACAAAGTGTTGTGTAAATTAACACCAGAACGTACAGAACATAGAATATGTTAAATTGAATAAATTCAAGGATTAGAATATAAACTCAACTATCTTTTATTGAATCAAAAAACATTTTTTTTTTTTGAAAACTACGCGAAAAACCAAGAACTCCTGAGAAAATATGACTCAGTCACGTTGAAGTTTATCAGTTGATGTTTTTAAAATATTTTAATTTTTTTATCTGGATGTGATGCACATGCACATTACAAATAAAAACATTTCTGAGAAGTTAACATTCCTAAAGTTAAAGTTGGCAAATTAAGAAGAAAAAAAATTATATTTGACGCAATATTAAGAGAGCAAAAAATTGGCCTTTGTTGACATAAGAAAAAATCACTCCAAACGCTGATAATTTTGCTTAATTAAATTATTGGGAAACCATTAAGGTACCGAAAATAAATTAAATACTTTGAGTACTTCCCTCTTAAAACAGTTATCTTCTTCTTGATAAAGCTGGTTATATGATGAACTGCTGAAAGTATATATTAAATAGAAATATCTGAGTGAAAACACACATCGCTGTTGGAATTGCATTAAAGTGGTAATTAACGCAAAATGCAATGTAAGTTATAAAATATTAAAAAAATAACATAAACATCCAAAACTTGTATATTATTTCAAAAACTTTCAGACAATATGGGAGCAAAGCTGTGCGCCATACTAATAATTATCTCTATTTCATTTAACATTACTATCCAAAAAACGACAGAAGTAAACCAGAACTGGAAAAACAAAACTAACAGCTACATATTGAAAAATAATACCACAGAAACTAATATTAAGGAAAAAGAAAATACTGGAGGACACAATCTTAAAAATATTTTATCGGTATCAGAAACAATAATAGCCTTGAATTCTGCAAGGCGAAAACTACATATCAAAAAGAGAGATATAACAAATATAATCGAGAATAAAACAACAACAAACAATGCTGATTCGATCACACAAGCCACCACTGAAAGCATCGAAAAGGTAAAAGATATAACACACAAGGATATAGATTTACACACAAAATACTTAACAAAAACACCAAGAAATTTGTTAAACGATTATAGCTCCATAACAGGAAATACTTTCGATTCTGTAACAACTAATGATACAAATAACGAAAAAATTTCTTTTCTTTCACAAACCATTTCTGAGTCGAATGAAAATAAAAAGATTCAGAACTCAACAATAGAACGCACAACGGATAGTGATAAGATATACAGAAGCATATCTAACAATACTAACACAAGCGAAACTCCTTCTCCGTCCGAAACTACTTCCACAACTGAGTCCGATGTGACAAGTGATGATAGTACAACAGTGAGTTCAACAATTGAAAACGCAACTGAAAATAGTCCTTCTTCTTCCGAAACTATTTCTACAACTGAGTCTGATGTGACAAACGATGATAGTACAACAGTGAATTCAATAATTGAAAACACAACTGAAAATACTGAAACTTCGCAGTCAAGTACGGAAACAATCAAACCTTCTTCCACAACTGCGTCGTCAGATATCACCACCAGCGGTGTTCCTTCTACTTCGGAATCTACGACTGTATCCGTTGATAATAATGCGACTAAAGTTTCATCAACGGTAGACACCACAACCAGTACTGAGACATCTACAAGCACGTTTATCAGTACTACGAAGGGCGAAACACTTTCTCTGTCCGAAACTACTTCTACAACTGAGTCTGAGGTGACAAATGATGATAGTACAACAGTGAGTTCAACAGTTGAAAACACACCTGAAAATACTGAAACTTCGCAGTCAAGTAAGGAAACAATCAAACCTTATTCCACAACTGCATTACCAGATACCACCACCAGTGGCGTTCCTTCTACTTCGGAATATACGACAGCGTCTGTGAATAATAATACGACTACATCCTTAACAACAGAAGACTCCACAACTAGAATTGAGACATCCACAAGCACGTCTATCAATACTGCGATAAGCGAAACTCCTTCTCCGTCCGAAACTACTTCTACAACTGAGTCAGATGTGACAAATGATGATAGTACAACAGTGAGTTCAACAATTAAAAACACAACTAAAAATAGTCCTTCCCCTTCCGAAACTACTTCTACAACTGAATCTGATGTGACAAATGATGATAGTACAACAGTGAGTTCAATAATTAAAAACACAACTGAAAATACTGAAACTTCGCAGTCAAGTACGGAAACAATCAAACCTTCCTCCACAACTGCGTCGTCAGATACCACCATCAGCGGTGTTCCTTCTACTTCGGAATCTACTACTGTATCCGTTGATAATAATACGACTATAACCTCAACAATAAAAGAACCCACAACCATTACTGAGACATCTACAAGCACGTCCACAAGTGAAACTTCTTCTCCATCCGAAACTACTTTTTCAACTCAGTCTGATGTGACAAATGATGAAAATTCTGAAACTTCACAGTCAAGTAAGGAAACAATCAAACCTTCCTTCACAACTGCGTCGTCAGATACCATCATCAGCGGTGTTCCTTCTACTTCGGAATCTACCACTGTATCCGTTGATAATAATACGACTATAACCTCAACAATTGAAGACTCCACAACCAGTACTGAGACATCTACAAGCACGTCTATCAATACTTCCACAAGCGAAAATCCCTCTCCGTCCGAAACTACTTCTACAACTGAGTCTGATGTGACAAATGATGATAGTACAACAGTGAGTTCAACAATTAAAAACACAACTAAAACTAGTCCTTCTCCTTCCGAAACTACTTCTACAACTGAATCTGATGTGACAAATGATGATAGTACAACAGTGAGTTCAACAATTGAAAACATAACTAAAAATAGTCCTTCTCCTTCCGAAACTACTTCTACAACTGAGTCTGATGTGACAAATGATGATAGTACAACAGTGAATTCAATAATTGAAAACACAACTGAAAATACTGAAACTTCGCAGTCAAGTACGGAAACAATCAAACCTTCTTCCACAACTGCGTCGTCAGATATCACCACCAGCGGTGTTCCTTCTACTTCGGAATCTACGACTGTATCCGTTGATAATAATGCGACTAAAGTTTCATCAACGGTAGACACCACAACCAGTACTGAGACATCTACAAGCACGTTTATCAGTACTACGAAGGGCGAAACACCTTCTCTGTCCGAAACTACTTCTACAACTGAGTCTGAGGTGACAAATGATGATAGTACAACAGTGAATTCAATAATTAAAAACACAACTGAAAATACTGAAACTTCACAGTCAAGTACGGAAACAATCAAACTTTCCTTCACAACTGCGTCGTCAGATACCACCATCAGTGGTTATTCTTCTATTTCAGAACCTACGACTGTGTCCGCTGATAATAATACGACTATAACCTTAACAACAGAAGACTCCACAACCAGTACTGAGACATCCACAACCAAGTCTATTAATACTACCACAAGCAAAGTTCTTTCTACGTCCGAAACTACTTCAACAACTGAGTCTGATGTGACAAATGATGATAGTACAACAGTGAATTCAATAATTGAAAACACACCTGAAAATACTGAAACTTCGCAGTCAAGTACGGAAACAATCAAACCTTCTTCCACAACTGCGTCGTCAGATACCACCATCAGCGGTGTTCCGTCTACTTCGGAATCTACGACTGTATCCGGAGATAATAATACGACTATAGTCTCAACAACAGAAGACACCACAACCAGCACTGAGACATCCACAGCCACGTCTATCAATACTAGGAAGGGCGAAACTCCTTCTCCATCCGAAACAAAATCTACAACTGAGTCTGATGTGACAAATGATGATAGTACAACAGTGAGTTCAACAGTTGAAAACACAACTGAAAATACTGAAGCTTCGCAGTCAAGTACGGAAACAATCAAACCTTCCTCCACAACTGCGTCGTCAGATACCACCATCAGCGGTGTTCCTTCTACTTCGGAATCTACTACTGTATCCGTTGATAATAATACGACTATAACCTCAACAACAGAAGACTCCACAACCAGTACTGACACATCTACAAACACGTCTATCAATACTTCCACAAGCGAAAATCCCTCTCCGTCCGAAACTACTTCTACAACTGAGTCTGATGTGACAAATGATGATAGTACAACAGTGAGTTCAACAATTAAAAACACAACTAAAAATAGTCCTTCCCCTTCCGAAACTACTTCTACAACTGAGTCTGATGTGACAAATGATGATAGTACAACAGTAAATTCAATAATTAAAAACACAACTGAAAATACTGAAACTTCGCAGTCAAGTACGGAAACAATCAAACCTTCCTCTACAACTGCATTACCAGATACCACCACCAGCGGTGTTCCTTCTACTTCGGAATCTATGACTGTATCCGGTGATAATAATACGACTATAACCTCAACAACAGAAGACACCACAACAAGTACTGAGACATCTACAAGCACGTCTATCAATATTTCCAAAAGCGAAACTCCTTCACCGTCCGAAACTACTTCTACAACTGAGTCTGATGTGACAAATGATGATAGTACAACAGTGAGTTCAACAATTGAAAACACAACTAAAAATAGTCCTTCTCCTTCCGAAACTACTTCTACAACTGAATCTGATGTGACAAATGATGATAGTACAACAGTGAATTCAACAATTGAAAGCACAGCTGAAAATACTGAAACTTCGCAGTCAAGTACGGAAACAATCAAACCTTCCTCCACAACTGCGTCGTCAGATACCACCACCAACGGAGCTCTTTCTACTTCGAAATCTACTACTGTATCCGTTGATAATAATACGACTATAACCTCAACAACAGAAGACTCCACAACCAGTACTGACACATCTACAAACACGTCTATCAATACTTCCACAAGCGCAAATCCCTCTCCGTCCGAAACTACTTCTACAACTGAGTCTGATGTGACAAATGATGACAGTTCAACAGTGAGTTCAACAGTGAGTTCAACAGTTGAAAACACAACTGAAAATACTGAAACTTCGCAGTCAAGTAAGGAAACAATCAAACCTTATTCCACAACTGCGTTACCAGATACCACCACCAGTGGCGTTCCTTCTACTTCGGAATATACGACAGCGTCTGTGAATAATAATACGACTACATCCTTAACAACAGAAGACTCCACAACTAGTATTGAGACATCCACAAGTACGTTTATCAATACTACGATAAGCGAAACTCCTTCTCCTTCCGAAACTACTTCTACACTTGAGTCTTATGTGACAAATGGTGATAGTACAACAGTGAATTCAATAATTGAAAACACAACTGAAAATACTGAAACTTCGCAGTCAAGTAAGGAAACAATCAAACCTTCTTCCACAACTGCGTCGTCAGATACCACCATCAGCGATGTTCCGTCTACTTCGGAATCTACGACTGTATCCGGAGATAGTAATACGACTATAGTCTCAACAACAGAAGACACCACAACCAGCACTGAGACATCCACAACCACGTCTATCAATACTACGATAAGCGAAACTCCTTCTCCGTCCGAAACTACTTCCACAACTGAGTCTGATGTGACAAATGATGATAGTACAACAGTAAATTCAATAATTAAAAACACAACTGAAAATACTGAAACTTCGCAGTCAAGTACGGAAACAATCAAACCTTCCTCCACAACTGCGTCGTCAGATACCACCATCAGCGGTGTTCCTTCTACTTCGGAATCTACTACTGTATCCGTTGATAATAATACGACTATAACCTCAACAACAGAAGACTCCACAACCAGTACTGAGACATCCACAAGCACGTCTATCAATGCTACGATAAGCGAAACTCCTTCTCCGTCCGAAACTACTTCTACACCTGAGTCTGATGTGACAAATGATGACAGTTCAACAGTGAGTTCAACAGTGAGTTCAACAGTTGAAAACACACCTGAAAATATTGAAACTTCGCATTCAAGTACGGAAATAATCAAACCTTACTCTACAACTGCATTACCAGATACCACCACCAGTGGCGTTCCTTCTACTTCAGAAGCTACGACAGCGTCTGTGACTAATAATACGACTACATCCTTAACAACAGAAGACTCCACAGCTAGTATTGAGACATCCACAAGTACGTTTATCAATACTACGATAAGCGAAACTCCTTCTCCTTCCGAAACTACTTCTACACTTGAGTCTGATGTGACAAATGGTGATAGTACAACAGTAAATTCAATAATTAAAAACACAACTGAAAATACTGAAACTTCGCAGTCAAGTACGGAAACAATCAAACCTTCCTCCACAACTGCGTCGTCAGATACCACCATCAGCGGTGTTCCTTCTACTTCGGAATCTACTACTGTATCCGTTGATAATAATACGACTATAACCTCAACAACAGAAGACTCCACAACCAGCACTGAGACATCCACAACCACGTCTATCAATACTAGGAAGGGCGAAACTCCTTCTCCATCCGAAACTACTTCTACACCTGAGTCTGATGTGACAAATGATGATAGTACAACAAGGAGTTCAACAATTGAAAACACACCTGAAAATACTGAAACTTCGCAGTCAAGTACGGAAACAATCAAACCTTCCTCCACATCTGCGTCGTCAGATACCACTATCAGCGGTGTTCCTTCTACTTCGGAATCTACTACTGCATCCGGTGATAATAATACGACTATAACCTTAACAACAGAAGACACCACAACCAGTACTGAGACATCCACAAGCACGTCTATCAATGCTACGATAAGCGGAACTCCTTCTCCGTCCGAAGCAACATCAACAACTGAGTCTGATGTGACAAATGATGATAGTACAACAGTGAGTTCAACAGTTGAAAACACACCTGAAAATACTGAAACTTCGCAGTCAAGTAAGGAAACAATCAAACCTTACTCCACAACTGCATTACCAGATACCACCACCAGTGGCGTTCCTTCTACTTCGGAATATACGACAGCGTCCGTGTATAATAATACGACTACATCCTTAACAACAGAAGACACCACAACTAGAATTGAGACATCTACAAGCACGTCTATCAATACTACGATAAGCGAAACTCCTTCTCCGTCCGAAACTACTTCTACACCTGAGTCTGATGTGACAAATGATGAAAGTTCAACAGTGAGTTCAACAGTTGAAAACACAACTGAAAATACTGTAACTTCGCATTCAAGTACGGAAATAATCAAACCATACTCCACAACTGCATTACCAGATACCACCACCAGTGGCGTTCCTTCTACTTCAGAAGCTACGACAGCGTCCGTGTATAATAATACGACTACATCCTTAACAACAGAAGACACCACAACTAGTATCGAGACATCTACAACCACGTCTATCAATACTACGATAACCGAAACTCCTTCTCCGTCCGAAACTACTTCTACACCTGAGTCTGATGTGACAAATGATGACAGTTCAACAGTGAGTTCAACAGTTGAAAACACACCTGAAAATACTGAAACTTCGCATTCAAGTACGGAAATAATCAAACCTTACTCCACAACTGCATTACCAGATACCACCACCAGTGGCGTTCCTTCTACTTCAGAAGCTACGACAGCGTCCGTGTATAATAATACGACTACATCCTCAACAACAGAAGACACCACAACTAGAATTGAGACATCCACAACCACGTCTATCAATACTACGATAAGCGAAACTCCTTCTCCGTCCGAAACTACTTCTACACCTGAGTCTGATGTGACAAATGATGACAGTTCAACAGTGAGTTCAACAGTGAGTTCAACAGTTGAATACACACCTGAAAATACTGAAACTTCGCAGTCAAGTAAGGAAACAATCAAACCTTATTCCACAACTGCGTTACCAGATACCACCACCAGTGGCGTTCCTTCTACTTCAGAAGCTACGACAGCGTCCGTGTATAATAATACGACTACATCCTTAACAACAGAAGACACCACAACCAGTACTGAGACATCCACAACCACGTCTATCAATACTACGATAAGCGAAACTCCTTCTTCGTCCGGAACTACTTCTACAACTGAGTCTGATGTGACAAATGATGATAGTACAACAAGGAGTTCAACAATTGAAAACACTACTGAAAATACTGAAACTTCGCAGTCAAGTACGGAAACAATCAAACCTTCCTCCACATCTGCGTCGTCAGATACCACTATCAGCGGTGTTCCTTCTACTTCGGAATCTACTACTGCATCCGGTGATAATAATACGACTATAACCTCAACAACAGAAGACACCACAACCAGTACTGAGACATCCACAAGCACGTCTATCAATGCTACGATAAGCGGAACTCCTTCTCCGTCCGAAACAACATCTACAACTGAGTCTGATGTGACAAATGATGATAGTACAACAGTGAGTTCAACAGTTGAAAACACACCTGAAAATACTGAAACTTCGCAGTCAAGTAAGGAAACAATCAAACCTTACTTCACAACTGCATTACCAGATACCACCACCAGTGGCGTTCCTTCTACTTCGGAATATACGACAGCGTCCGTGTATAATAATACGACTACATCCTTAACAACAGAAGACACCACAACTAGAATTGAGACATCCACAACCACGTCTATCAATACTACGATAAGCGAAACTCCTTCTCCGTCCGAAACTACTTCTACACCTGAGTCTGATGTGACAAATGATGAAAGTTCAACAGTGAGTTCAACAGTGAGTTCAACAGTTGAAAACACAACTGAAAATACTGAAACTTCGCATTCAAGTACGGAAATAATCAAACCTTACTCCACAACTGCATTACCAGATACCACCACCAGTGGCGTTCCTTCTACTTCAGAAGCTACGACAGCGTCTGTGTATAATAATACGACTACATCCTTAACAACAGAAGACTCCACAACTGGTATTGAGGCATCTACGAGCACGTCTATCAATACTACGATAAGCGAAACTCCTTCTCCGTCCGAAACTACTTCTACACCTGAGTCTGATGTGACAAATGATGACAGTTCAACAGTGAGTTCAACAGTTGAAAACACAACTGAAAATACTGAAACTTCGCATTCAAGTACGGAAATAATCAAACCTTACTCCACAACTGCATCACCAGATACCACCACCAGTGGCGTTCCTTCTACTTCAGAAGCTACGACAGCGTCCGTGTATAATAATACGACTACATCCTTAACAACAGAAGACACCACAACTAGTATCGAGACATCTACAAGCACGTCTATCAATACTACGATAAGCGAAACTCCTTCTCCGTCCGAAACTACTTCTACACTTGAGTCTTATGTGACAAATGATGATAGTACAACACTGAGTTCAACAATTGACAACACTACTGAAAATACTGAAACTTCGCAGTCAAGTACGGAAACAATCAAACCTTCCTCCACATATGCGTCGTCAGATACCACTATCAGCGGTGTTCCTTCTACTTCGGAATCTACTACTGCATCCGGTGATAATAATACGACTATAACCTCAACAACAGAAGACACCACAACCAGTACTGAGACATCCACAAGCACGTCTATCAATACTACGATAAGCGGAACTCCTTCTCCGTCCGAAACAACATCTACAACTGAGTCTGATGTGACAAATGATGATAGTACAACAGTGAGTTCAACAGTTGAAAACGCACCTGAAAATGCTGAAACTTCGCAGTCAAGTAAGGAAACAATCAAACCTTACTCCACAACTGCATTACCAGATACCACCACCAGTGGCGTTCCTTCTACTTCAGAAGCTACGACAGCGTCCGTGTATAATAATACGACTACATCCTTAACAACAGAAGACACCACAACTAGAATTGAGACATCCACAACCACGTCTATCAATACTACGATAAGCGAAACTCCTTCTCCGTCCGAAACTACTTCTACACCTGAGTCTGATGTGACAAATGATGAAAGTTCAACAGTGAGTTCAACAGTTGAAAACACACCTGAAAATACTGAAACTTCGCAGTCAAGTAAGGAAACAATCAAACCTTATTCCACAACTGCGTTACCAGATACCACCACCAGTGGCGTTCCTTCTACTTCAGAAGCTACGACAGCGTCCGTGTATAATAATACGACTACATCCTTAACAACAGAAGACACCACAACCAGTACTGAGACATCCACAACCACGTCTATCAATACTACGATAAGCGAAACTCCTTCTTCGTCCGGAACTACTTCTACAACTGAGTCTGATGTGACAAATGATGATAGTACAACAAGGAGTTCAACAATTGAAAACACTACTGAAAATACTGAAACTTCGCAGTCAAGTACGGAAACAATCAAACCTTCCTCCACATCTGCGTCGTCAGATACCACTATCAGCGGTGTTCCTTCTACTTCGGAATCTACTACTGCATCCGGTGATAATAATACGACTATAACCTCAACAACAGAAGACACCACAACCAGTACTGAGACATCCACAACCACGTCTATCAATACTACGATAAGCGAAACTCCTTCTCCGTCCGAAACTACTTCTACACTTGAGTCTTATGTGACAAATGATGATAGTACAACACTGAGTTCAACAATTGACAACACTACTGAAAATACTGAAACTTCGCAGTCAAGTACGGAAACAATTAAACCTTCCTCCACATATGCGTCGTCAGATACCACTATCAGCGGTGTTCCTTCTACTTCGGAATCTACTACTGCATCCGGTGATAATAATACGACTATAACCTCAACAACAGAAGACACCACAACCAGTACTGAGACATCCACAAGCACGTCTATCAATGCTACGATAAGCGGAACTCTTTCTCCGTCCGAAACAACATCTACAACTGAGTCTGATGTGACAAATGATGATAGTACAACAGTGAGTTCAACAGTTGAAAACACACCTGAAAATACTGAAACTTCGCAGTCAAGTAAGGAAACAATCAAACCTTACTCCACAACTGCATTGCCAGATACCACCACCAGTGGCGTTACTTCTACTTCGGAATATACGACAGCGTCCGTGTATAATAATACGACTACATCCTTAACAACAGAAGACACCACAACTAGAATTGAGACATCCACAACCACGTCTATCAATACTACGATAAGCGAAACTCCTTCTCCGTCCGAAACTACTTCTACACCTGAGTCTGATGTGACAAATGATGAAAGTTCAACAGTGAGTTCAACAGTGAGTTCAACAGTTGAAAACACAACTGAAAATACTGAAACTTCGCATTCAAGTACGGAAATAATCAAACCTTACTCCACAACTGCATTACCAGATACCACCACCAGTGGCGTTCCTTCTACTTCAGAAGCTACGACAGCGTCTGTGTATAATAATACGACTACATCCTTAACAACAGAACACTCCACAACTAGTATTGAGGCATCTACAAGCACGTCTATCAATACTACGATAAGCGAAACTCCTTCTCCATCCGAAACTACTTATACACCTGAGTCTGATGTGACAAATGATGACAGTTCAACAGTGAGTTCAACAGTGAGTTCAACAGTTGAAAACACACCTGAAAATACTGAAACTTCGCATTCAAGTACGGAAATAATCAAACCTTACTCCACAACTGCATTACCAGATACCACCACCAGTAGCGTTCCTTCTACTTCAGAAGCTACGACAGTGTCCGTGTATAATAATACGACTACATCCTTAACAACAGAAGACACCACAACTAGTATCGAGACATCTACAAGCACGTCTATCAATACTACGATAAGCGAAACTCCTTCTCCTTCCGAAACTACTTCTACACTTGAGTCTTATGTGACAAATGATGATAGTACAACAAGGAGTTCAACAATTGACAACACTACTGAAAATACTGAAACTTCGCAGTCAAGTACGGAAACAATCAAACCTTACTCCACAACTGCATTACCAGATACCACCACCAGTGGCGTTCCTTCTACTTCAGAAGCTACGACAGCGTCCGTGTATAATAATACGACTACATCCTTAACAACAGAAGACACCACAACTAGAATTGAGACATCCACAACCACGTCTATCAATACTACGATAAGCGAAACTCCTTCTCCGTCCGAAACTACTTCTACACCTGAGTCTGATGTGACAAATGATGAAAGTTCAACAGTGAGTTCAACAGTTGAAAACACAACTGAAAATACTGAAACTTCGCATTCAAGTACGGAAATAATCAAACCTTACTCCACAACTGCATTACCAGATACCACCACCAGTGGCGTTCCTTCTACTTCAGAAGCTACGACAGCGTCTGTGTATAATAATACGACTACATTCTTAACAACAGAAGACTCCACAACTAGTATTGAGGCATCTACAAGCACGTCTATCAATACTACGATAAGTGAAACTCCTTCTCCGTCCGAAACTACTTCTACACCTGAGTCTTATGTGACAAATGATGATAGTACAACAGTGAGTTCAACAATTGAAACCACAACTGAAAATACTGAAACTTCGCAGTCAGGTACGGAAACAATCAAACCTTCCTCCACAACTGCATTACCAGATACCACCACCAGCGGTGTTCCTTCTACTTCGGAATCTACGACAGCGTCTGTTGATAATAATACGACTATAACCTCAACAATTGAAGACTCCACAACCAGTACTGAGACATCCACAACCACGTCTATCAATACTACGATAAGCGAAACTCCCTCTCCTTCCGAAACTACTTCTACACCTGAGTCTGATGTGACAAATGATGATAGTACAACAGTGAGTTCAACAGTTGAAAACACACCTGAAAATACTGAAACTTCGCAGTCAAGTACGGAAACAATGAAACCTTCCTCCACATCTGCGTTACCAAATACCACCATCAGCGGTGTTCCTTCTACTTCGGAATCTACGACTGTATCCGGTGATAATAATACGACTATAGCCTCAACAACAGAAGACATCACAACTAGTATTGAGACATCTTCAAGCACGTCTATCATTACTTCCACAAGCGAAACTACCTCTCCATCCGAAACTACTTCTACAACTGAGTCTGATGTGACAAATGATGATAGTACAACAGTCAGTTCAACAATTGAAAACACAACTGAAAATACTGAAAATTCGCAGTCAAGTACGGAGACAACCACATCTTCCACTACAAATGCGTTACCAAATACCACCACCAGCGGTTTTACTTCTCCTTCGGAAACTATAAGTTCAACATCAAGCACATCTAGAAGCACTCAAGTAGTCACAACATTCCCGAATGTTGAGTTTACTTCCAGTAGTACAAGTAAAATTCCAATTTCTTTAGAAACCACATCTCAGGTAAGCGTTGATAAAACTGTTGGAACAAAAGTAACTCCTTCTGCTCAAACTGTTGTAACAAGTTCTGTGTCTCCTGTCTATACTACAACGAAATCGTCGCTGGATTGTAAAAATGGAGCTGACTATTTGCCACATCCGGACGACTGTAGAAAGTTTGTACAATGCTCTAATGGTATAGGTTATATAATGTCATGCCCATCTCCATTGTTTTGGAATGCTAAAGGAAAGTTTTGCGGATGGAGTAAAAGTGACTGCGATCTACCGAAAACGACCAAGTCGCACTACGTAACGACTTCAACTGAAAGACCTCATAAAACGTGTACAAATGGAGCTGACTTCTTGCCAGTGCCAGATGATTGTCACAAGTATATACAATGTGCTAATGGTGAATCCATTGTTATGCAGTGTCCTGCTTCATTATACTGGGATCAAACAACTAAGACATGTGGTTGGAGCAATAAGAATTGTGTGCACAAAACAGGTAGAACTCAAAGTCGTTGCATTGGTGGGCAAAAATATTTAACTGTCGATACCGAATGTAAAAGTTATATTAAATGTGAAAATGGTAATGAGATAACATTAAGATGTCAGCAAAATTTGTATTGGAACCAACTGCTAGAAACTTGCACCCGAAAGAAGGCTTTAAAATGTGGTAACTAGTAAGTTTATAATTATTAAATAAGTTTAGCATAGTTTCAGGGCGTTAACATACTATTGGCTTTAATTGATTAATTCAACTTTGTTATCTAGGTTCTTTACAATAATTTCTGTTTGATGTAAAGTTCAAGGTTTTATATTAACAATTACAATTTATCTGTAATCAAAGCAAGTTTGTAATGATAAGAAGTAAATGCTTTAACTGGCTTTGAAAAATATAAATACCAACGATATTTTATTTAAATCTTAGTTATTGCACATTTGACGCAAGAGCTTTACTTGCCCCATAAATAAATTTGTAAAATGAAAGGTATACAGATATTTTAATAATTTAATAAAAATTAAAATAAAAATCGTTGTTTTTAATTTTATTTAGTTTTAATTTTTCTTGTTTTTGTGGTGACACAAATTCTGCTATCGTTTTGTGAAGTGGTAAGTTAATTGCATAGACATTTTATTATTCTTTTTTTTTTATTTAAAAATCTAAAATGTAACATCCCTTTTTTCAGGCAACTAATGAACCTATAAGACATCCTCAATGTCCCTCCTACTATAATCCACAAAATCCAACTTTTCTTCCTTACCCATATGATTGCCAAAAGTATTATACATGTCTTAATGGCTTAGCTTTCACAATGATTTGTCCAGAAAATTTACATTGGAGCAGTTCTACTAACACGTGTGATCTACCCAGTAAAGCAGGATGTATGTTGATTAATCCATCTTTACAATCACCTCAAATAATAACATCAATGTCGGGAGCTGTATCTACTTATGCGCCTAATCCGAACGACTGTAATCAGTTTTATTTTTGTCAAGCTATGCAGTGTCCTGCAAATCTTCATTGGAATGCACGTTTACAACGCTGTGATCTGCCACAGTTTGCCGCTTGTCAGGCACAACAATATTACATACCAAATACTATATCTTTGCCTACAAATTCTGCTACACTACCGGTTACTAATCAGAGTCCTACAATTTTGATACCATCCTATCCAGCAACAAACTTTTCCAATGACTTGAACCAACTTTGCAGTGCATCGAAACATGCATATGTAAAACATCCGACTGATTGTCACCAATTTATACAATGCAATGGCATCGCATTTGTGCATACTTGTCCCGATAATCTGTTTTGGAACTCTGAACTGATGACTTGTGATCATTTATGTATTTAATTTGAATCATAAGTTTATACAATAAATACGTTATATACGCATATTAATACAAAATATATATATTTTATTTCTCTCTTTTTGTGAATTCTGCTTATACAAGCAAGACACGTCTTATTAACCCTAAGTAAATTTATATTAGAGTGATTTCGAAACGTAGTAAACTACAAAAATTCTTTTTATATTATATCAATTAGTTGAATTTTTGGCTGATAAAGCTGTTTCGAGTATTGCCAAATACCCATCATCAGTGGGCTTGGAATTATTTCTTATATTTATTTATTCATAAATAATTTCTTGAGACTGCAAGTACCAAGGGCTTAACAAGTACTCTGCCATATTTAAAGCTCAGAGTTCGATCTAGGAGTTTTTTGTTGATTTTGCTGTGAAGAGGGAAAGAAGGTACTGTAAGAAGTTTAAAACAAAATTTTCTTTATTCCACGTTCATTTTTGTACCTTTAACACAGACTTATGTACCTAATTATTCTCTTCTATTCATGAAAATGTCTTGAAGTTTTGATAGCACAAAAGTGTCAAACCTTCAGTACAAAAATCAGCCTTACTGTCGTATGTAATCCCGACTAAAAATATCTATTTTTAAAAACTTCTATTGATTTTGGATTCTAAACATATTTGTTAAGAATATATTTTGTATTAACGTTTTAGGCTTCAACTTTTACGAAAATTTTATAAACCATTAAACTTCAAACTTATCAGAATTTTTGTATTGAAGCATATACTAAAAGCACCATGATATATCAGGAATGAAGAACTTGAGAATCTAGCATTTGAAAATGACATCCAAAAACAGAGTTCAGAAATTGTTTGATTCTGTGGATGCTGATATTAATTCAGAATTAAACTCTCTTTAAACAAATGCCATATATATTCCCTTACATATATCCTGGGCTTCAAAATAAACCTCACCTGAAATCACCTGAAGAAAAGATATCATTTTTCAATGGAACATTTTTCAAATACATTACCCACGTGATAACAGATATTATAGAGTAAAAGTACTTCAGATATTAGTTCGTGTTTAATCATGCAAAGAAAAAGACTAAACAGTAAAACAACTGAAAAATATGTGATAACTTCATATCACATATTTCATACCATATTTTTAAAAAAATGATTAAAATTTTTAAGTAATAAAATCTATCACATATTTTATTCTTTATTTTGATCTATTTTTCAAATTAAAGTACAAAATAATTTACATCGAACAACCGGATTGAGGGGTGTTAGTACATTTATTTTCCTCCTTGTTAAAGTAAGAATTAGTTTCACAGGTGACCTCATAGACATTGTTAGCAAAGCACATATAATATTGATTGCATTTTGGATGAGCAAAGTACATTCCCTCGTTAGTTTCATTACAGGTCGGCTTGCGAACACCTTTTTCTACACATTTCGATTTTTTTATAGGAATACATCTTCCAGCAGTTTCATCAAAATGCTCATTGTATGCACAAGACTTAAGCACAGCCTTTTGGTTAGAGCATTCATAGTAGTCAAAGCAATTGGTTGTAGCAAATTGTATGTCATCAGCTACATTCAAACAAATCTTTTCCGTTGACACACAACCAGCAATAGCTGGAGATACGCACTTCTTTTGCTTATCTGAGAAATGCGTATTTTCCGGACATGCTGTATATACCGGTATAGTATTTATATCCATGCAGAAGTAATAATGAGTACAGTCAGTTGGTGCTGCAACAGCAGTAAACCATAGCTCATGTTGTTCACACTTAGCTTTAACATAATTAGTCAAATGGATGTTCTCGCTGCTTTGACCACACAGAGAACATATTTGTTTCCTTTCGTCAAAGCATGTTCCTGGAACTGAACATTCATCAACGTGAACTTTGTCGTTGAGGCAAACAATGAATTTAGATTGAGATCCAGGATAAGCCACAGCTCCAACGTCTTTTTCGTTACACAGCTACATGTTGAATGTAAAAGTAGATAAATATTTATAACTGTATTAAGTTCTTTAAATTTAAGGTTAATCTACCTTTTTCAGTACAAATTCTGGAATGGCTTGTGCTTCAGCATATTCCGAACAGAGTGAGATTAGGAAAAGTGAAATGTACACTAAAATAAATGTTTGGATTTTAAATTTGAAATAATCTGGGACCGTAACAGTTATCATTTATCATATAAAATAAAATCAACTAATAACTCTTATCATTAGCATTTCAAAATAAAACTTAGAATATTATAATTAAATTTGCGTTACATCATATATTTCAAAAATAATTATCATGTGCCTTTTATTTTTCCACGCACAAATAACTCTTACACACTGCATTTTATTTTAAAACGCGCTAATAATTGTTATTTTTGCCTTAAAAATACAAAAATCAAGAATGACTCTTATTTCTGAAAACAAAATATGATTCACACGGTGTGCCTGATATTTTTAAAAACGAATATATAAAATGCATTTTGTATATAAGGTAATGTTTTTATAATTTTATACAAAATATATTGAATGATTAATACAGGTAAAGTGTTGCAAAGAGAATGAAAACTAACATATATACTTAAATATAACCTTAGACAATATTTTGTTGCAGCTTTTTTTCTTAAATATTTTTGAAATAACTGTTATTTTCGGACACTAGAAATAATTCAATAATTATTTAATATATATCTTTGAAAATATTTTGTTAATGTTGTTGAAGATACATCTTTACAATTGAAATCAAATTATGATTTAAAACAAAATGATAAGATGGTTTTAAGAGTCAAAAATATTATTATTATGGAATGTTTTATTCATCAAAAGGGTTTCTGGCTTTAATTTTGTCTGTCTGGATTCACAACATTTAGTTATGTCAGATTCCTGAGTATATTGGTGGCTTACTATATTATGTTAAGCTTTAATAACGCACAGAAGAAACTTATTTCATATGGAATTTCTGTCACCAGAACAGATTAAGAACTATTCTCTAGCTTTAGTTGTAGATTTTATTTACAAAGCTATAAAGGCTGTTGGGGGATTTTACGATAATAGTTTTGATAATAATTTTAATAATAAATATTATGTACACTGTACCTATAACTAAATATGTATTTTAAATTATAGTAAACTAATATTGTAGTTAGTCAATATATTTATAGTTAAAATAACTATTGTAAAAACGGGGAAAAAAGAGAGTAAGTAGGTCTGAACAAATTTCATATTCGCAGACAATCATTAAACTTTAAACACTAAAAATATATTAAATAGAACAAGACGAGTCAGCACTGAATATAAGATGTATTTCACCACTTTTGACTAATGCTAATTTTATTGTTTATTAAGTACAAAGTTATTACTTAAACAACGGTTTAATTTAAAAAGTTACAAACACAATATATAATTGTAATCTAACTATTTACTTTGATAGATACTTCTTGCATTTTGTAATTAATTGCTAATTCTGATTCTAATTCTGATTGTTACAGATTTCAAATCTCTTGAGTGAAATATTTAGCATTGTATTTCTTAAAATACTGATTTGGTATTCATAGATAGAAAATTATTACATTTTAGGTAAATAATTTCCATAAAACACTGTAATTAACAAATATGATATTTATATCCTTCTATTGTTGATCTTTCGTTTTTTATAGATAATTATTAGTAATATATGTTTTAATCAACGAATCGTATCAATGCGAAATAGGTGTTTTAAACTTTGCGTTAGAAGTCTATAAGTTCTTCAATAAAAATAAACATTAACTATTCCAAAAACGTTTAAAAAAGTAGGGGTTAGATTTTAAATTAATCACCGATTATATACAGGAGGATTCGTTAGCTAAGTATTTGTTGAATGGTTTTTTAAATTTTATTTCTTTTACACTTTATTCCTTGTCAAACATCTTTTGTTTTGAATTCATAAAGATTTTAAATGTCCTAAAATATCCTTTCTATAAGTTATTTCATTAACTTTTATATGAAAATTATTTTTCAATTTAATTTTTTACTCTTACATTTTACTTTAAAGTACATTTTTTTGTTTATTTCTAAATTATTTCACTTCGCTTTAAAATAATAGACTGTGTGAATTGAAGATAATTTCAGGTATTTATAAACAAGAAGAATCATTTTAATTATTGACAAAACAACTTAACTCTGTAAAATTAATCAGCTGAACTTTGATTTTAGCAAATATTTCATTTTCCAATTACATTTTTTAATTATTGCAAGTTGTACAACATCGATAATGTTGATAAAATAATCCGTCATTAAACACATGATAAAAATATGTTAAAGACGTTAAACATGTTTGTATGACTAAACAATCAGGACCTATTGTGTTTCTAAAATATTGAGATTATATTTTATGACAATACTTCTAGATCATGGCTGTCCAAAGTACGACCCGCGGATAATGTTTGTGCGGCCCGTGATATGTTTTTAATCTACTACAATTATGCAAATTTTCTTTTGGTGTTTCTGGGACCCTACAATCCTTTCAATGATTTGAATTGGCCCGCGATCGCTTCTGGTCTGGTCAGCCCAGTTTTAAATGATTTAATGCGAAAAAAATAATGCAAATTTGGCTTATCTGCATCATATTAAAGTGAGATGTGCTTTACTTGACAAATGCATTGACAACACTGCGAAAAGAAAAAACTTAGCTCAATCTAGAAATTTTAGGTGTGCTTTCTCACTCCATAATTGCACCCACATCAACTAAAATCAACTAAAATCAGAATCATTTGATTTAAATATGCTAATAAGTGGCAATTAATGCATTTTGTGAGATAATACAAAGATTGCTGCGATAATTCTGGTATTATAAGAGTGAGAAAAACTAAAATTTTTCTTTTAAGACGTGAGAGGCAGGTTTTGCTGTCTTGCGACAGAATGTTAAAAGAGACTTTACAAGCGACAATCACATTTATAGCAGCAATTACTTTAGAAGGTTTACCACTTCGGGTAGTGTGAAGTGGGTCAAATAGCCAAAGACCGTGCAAGTCATATACAAAGCTGTTGAAACTTGGAACCAAGCGCTAGACTACTTGGGAACTCTAATAAGTGCCAATAATAATAAAAAGAATAATTCCTCATTCGTGTATTAAGTTTTATTCATTTCAAATTGATTGCAATATCTAAATAAATACGTTATGTGACCTAGAAGTGGTTTGCTGGATTCCGTAGCGGAAAATTCACATTCAAAGATGCTCTGGTCGAGCAGTCATTAAAGAAGTCATTGAAATTTTACAATTATAGGAGTAAAATTGAAACCAAAAGTCATATTGGAGGCACTAAACATCAATCCCATGACAGTTTGGAATAATTAAGGCAACGCATTGACAATTTTTCCACAAAAATTTGATTGTTCAAATTACCATTAGTGAATCTGAAACGCAACGAAATCAAACTATCTTTGGAGCAAATCATTTCAGGTGATGAAAAGTTGATTAAATACAATAATATCCGATGCAAGCATTTATTATCAAAAGCCAGTGATCCTCTAATGCCAAAGAAAATGTGTAATGAACCCTTTTTGGTTCGTTTAAAGCTGGGGTTGAACTCAGCCGTCCCCAAGGTCCACACAAGAAATTTATTTAGTGAGACCCCGTCACTTCTGATTGCTCTTAATTACAGATACCTAGGTTCGAATACCAATCGGAATCCCAGACACAAAGGAATCACTTGACTGAAATAGACACGATATAATACCAGCACGCGTGACTGTTAAAGCTACGTGAGTGGTATTACAGGTCGCTGATCACACGCCCTTCCCTGTTCACTGTTAAAGCGCCCAGGGGCCGGAGACGTTAGGTGACTATTAAAGCTACCTATCGTTTCCGACACTATGGTATAGACTCACGTGACTATTAAAGCTACGTGAGTTATACCCCGTACAACCGAGATTCAGTTACTGTTGAAGCCCTGAATCTTTCTTACCTGTGTCTCTCACTTGTGTCGTTGTGCTGGATTCCCACCTTGATTTTACACCGATCAGGAGAAGCTAGTTTGTGTTGAACTCTATCAAAGCGGTAGTTATATCTATGAGCCCTCGCTATTATGCCTGTTTTGCTTTTATTTTAATAAAACACTTTTTTCAATTTATTCGCTCGTTTAGTTTTTTTTTTTATTTTATTCATTTAATTTATTAATATTCATTTTATTATCATATAAATAGCTAAATACAAATTTAGTTTTATTTTATTTTTTTTTTTTTTAAATTAAGTACTCTTTACTCTACTTTAAGTCTTTACAATTTATCAATAAGAGTGTTAAATTTTATATAGTAGCACATTTACTAGTTTAATCAGTTTATCTTTCTTAAAACAATCTTTTCGTGCAAAATTTCAATTTATGCGTACTCACGATTTATCAACAAGAGCTTTAAATTTTTTTTTGAATTCATGTAATAACACATTTACTAATGTAATCCGTTTATCTTACTTGAAAATAATTTTTACATATAACATTACAATTTATACGTACTCGCAATTTATCAATAATAGTTTTAAATTTTCTTTAAATTCATGTAATAACACATTTACTAATGTAATCCGTTTGTCTTACTTGAAAATAATTTTTACATATAAAATTACAATTTATACGTACTCACAATTTATCAATAATAGTTTTAAATTTTCTTTAAATTCATGTAATAACACATTTACTAATTTAATCAGTTTGCCTTTCTTAAAACAATCTTTTCGTGCAAAATTTTAATTTATGCGTACTCGCAATTTATCAAGAAAAGTTTTAAAAATTCAATTTCGATTGTTACAACTCTACTGGTTCAACTAATTTAATTTTTAATTTTTTTGAATAATTCTTTTGTTTATAGATACGATTTTACACTATTTCTGAGACTATTTAATTGTTTTTGATAATATCACCGTCGTCTTAGTTAAATAAATTCCGCTGCTGCTAACGCCAGGAGTTTTCCTTTTCACGACCGCACATAACCAGACAAGAGACCTTCTTCCAAGTGTACGCAACTTTTATACCGTCAACGATCAACGGTGCCAGCTGTTGGTACGTTAAAGTTCAACGACCGTTGATCGAAGCTCGTGAACTGATCCCTCTGCAATGCACCAGCGAAAGTCTAGCTTTAGGGCGAATTCTACTTTTCCCTCTCATGTGGAAGCTGGAACTTGTTCTTTCTTTAAGCTTCGCCCTAGTTCTACACCTTTTCCACAAAAGCTTTCTTCGTTTGACAGCTCGTGTTGTTTTGTTTTGATTTTGTTCTATTTTTTTTTTTTTTTACAACGTGTTGTGCCGGTGAACGTGTGTATTTAATTCTATTAATTAGAAAATTATTTTAAAATTATTTTATTTTCCAATAAAGTTCCAGCAAAATAGAACACCCAACGATAGCTCAAGATATGTGCATTATTGTTTTATTCAAATATATTTGTTATGCATTAACAAATAACTTTCATGCAAGTTCAGAATTTGTCAAATGCAAAAATGACGTCGCTGATGGCAGAGGATCGCGGTGAGTTGGTTAAGTTAATGTGCTTATCCGTACTTAACAAATTTTATTTTTCAATGCAGGAACCGTCGATTATATGAGTTCAAGTGAGTGTTTCTTGTTGTGTGTTAGGTGATCGTGTTGTGTTTAGTAGACAGCTATACACACGACGTTGTAACGATCAAATTTTAATTAATAAAATTTTGGCCGTTACACTCCCTCCTTTCTTTCAGGAAACGGATCTATACGGATGAGCCCACTTTTGGCTATTCTTACCAAACATACTTCACCATCTAAGGTGGCTTTAAACCGGTGTCTTTTGCCTTTCGACCACTTATCCAAATTGAAACCATGTCGCTGCAGGCGTGCTGCTGGGCTTACATCCACTCTACTTCCTACTATGCCGTCTGTACTAGTTATAGTCGGCGAGTCACATGCCTCTGATGTTGATCTGAGTAGTATTTTTGCCAGAGGAGGCGTGGGCGGACATTCCCAATTTCGTACCGCTTGCGGTATAACTTGTTCGTCGCCAGACCCTACTGGCGAGGCTGTTAATTCCAGAACGTCCTCAGTATCCCAGCTACATGAAGTGCACTGCAAGGGGCTAGATTTCAGTTCTGTTTCAGCTGCGTTCACGGTTTGCGCCATTTCTTCTGTATCGGTGTCTTCGCCGAATAACTCTATAAAGCGTACACATAGCCGTCGTCGTAATGTCTCATCTAGATCTGCCTTCTGTTTCCATGACCGGTGTATATTCGCATTTGATTTCTTCAACATCATGTTTTCGCGCCCAACCGTTCTTGCCATGCTAATACGTCTTTTGAACCTATTAAAGTAAAATTTATTAGTATGGAATTACCTTTGTTTTCTTAAAACCACTAATTATAGTATGGTTTAATACGACTAATATGGGCCGTCAACAAACTATCGGTGTCTAGATTACGCAATTTTACAATGACTGGTGACAGGAAATCTATGACTTCATATGGCCCCGAAAACTTTGGTGCTAGTTTTGCATTAAAGGCTTCTAGTGCGTTGGACAATGGTTGTGTTTTGTTTAGTACTAGAGAACCACACTTTGGCTGCCAATCCCGATGACGTAAATCGTAGTGACGCGCCTGATCTTGAGCCGCTTTCCCCATGTTTCCCTTCACTATGGCATATACATCTAATAGTTTACGCGCCTTTTCCTCTGGGGTTTCCATTGGCCTACCTGGGCCAGTCGTAACAGAGTCGTATAATGTATTCGGCATACGTAGCTCTCGCCCTTGGGTAACGAACGCAGGAGTATAACCGGTTGAGGCCGAAACGGAAGAATTTATGGCCAGCGTAATTTCTGGTATATACTCATCCCAGCGTCGATGGTCCAACTTTGAATTCTGAGCGATCATTGTTTTTATCGTCCTATTGGCTCGTTCAGTGGGATTGCCTTGCGGTGAATAAGGTGCAGTCTGTTGATGATGAACACCCAGTTCCTCCAGAAATTGCTTCAATACTTTGCTTGTGAACTGTGTTCCATTGTCGGTGACTAGAATTTTTGGTACTCCGAATCGAGACATAATATGTTCACGAAAGGCAC